TCCTTCCTAAAATGTGGTGCCCAAAACTGGACACAGGACTCCAGGCGAGGCCGGGTTGGGGTATGCTGAGAAAGAGCTGAAGGATGCCCAGCTGGCATGCTGGGAAAGCTCTGTCGGCGGCAGGACACGGCAGGCGAGGCACGGGGCTGGCCAGCTGGCACACGGTGAATCCCATCAGAGGCAGCCAACAAACAGGCCTGAAGCACGGAGTGCAGCCTACCCTCCCCCACCAAAGTTTTCCAAAAGGAACGGGAACTGTGTTCAGAGCACAGCAGTCACTGGCTCCCAGCAGGTACCCAGCTAAGCTAAAGAGACTTCCATTCGTACCTGAACACCAGGAAGAAGGGAAAAAAGAGTCAAATTCCCTTCTTGGGAATCGATTCCAAGGTGCTCTGGTGGAAAACTGGGCGCACTGAGATTCCAGAATGAAACAGAGAGGGCGAAGCGACGGCTTGCTCTTCAGGCCAAGCCCGGGGTTGGCAGGGAAGTTATTCAGAGACACAAACTCAGCACACATTGAATTGCAAATCTTGCCTTTGCTTCTCCCTGTCCCTGCCAACAAACACTGGGATTGGGGAAAGGAGCTGCCTCCAAGTAGGTCAGCGTGCGCCACTCCCAGCTACAGGGAGCAATTTGCCACCTGGACAATTGCCGGGAGGGATCTGGGATGAAGGAGGTAAAGATTCCCCTCGCTCGAAAGCCAGTCGAATCCGACTCTAGGGTTGCGGCGCTCATCTCCGTTTCAAAGCCGAAGAGCCAGCGCTGTCTGAAGACGTTTCCGTGGTCATGTGGCCGGCATGACTAAACACCAAGGCGCACGGAACGCTGTTCCCTTCCCACCAGAGTGGTACCTATTTATCTACTTGCAATTTCTTGCTTTCCAACGGCTAGGTTGGCAGGAGCTGGAACTAGAGACGGGTGCTCACTCCGTCATGCGGCACACTCGAGTCTCGAACTGTTGAACTACTGACCTTCCACAGCCTGCAGTTCAGCGTCTTAACCACTTGAGCCACCGCAGCTCCTAGGGATGAAGGAGACCCTGCCTCAAATCATGGAGCTGGGTCTGTGTGCAGCAGAGAGGTCACGCACTGCTTGCCTTGAGAACAGAGGTCCCCTCCCCCGGAAGCTCCTCCAAAGCTCACAGAGAGTTTATGGACAGAAGGGAGTGGTTGCTGTCTTGCCACTCTGTTCGTCCATTGAAGGAAGTCTCCTCGGACCGTTCAGATGAAGGATTCAGACTTGGCTGAGTAGAGGGGTAGGAGGCAACGCAGAGGGTTGGGTCCGAACTAAACTGGCAGTTTCCCCTCATTCCCGGTCATTTCTCAGGTCCCCTCTCCCTCAGGAGCAACAGGGGTCATTTCCTGCAGGAGCATACAGGAGCTCCAGCAGTAAAGAGCCCAGGGGGCGGGCACATGCAACAAGCCCCGCGCCCTGCTCCCAGCAGCCCTCAGTCAGAGCAAGAAGCAGCCAGGTAAGTTGCAGAGCCCCGGCCCCCCCGGTCCAAAACAGTCCAGTGGCACCTTTAAGACCAAGTCTTATTCAGGCACAAGCTCTCCCTCCTCTGCAAGGACAGATCTGCACGTTCCCCCTCCCCCACAATAGCTAGCAATCCAAACAGTCCAGTGGCACCTTTAAGACCAAGTTTTATTCCGGTACAAGCTCTCCCTCCTCTGCGATAGATAGATCTGCACGTCCCCTCCCCCCAATAGCTAGCAATCCAAAACAGTCCAATGGCACCTTTAAGACCTAGTTTTATTCTGGTACAAGCTCTCCCTCCTCTGTGAGGACAGATCTGCATGTCCCCCCCCCCTCCCAATAGCTAGCAATCCAAAACAGTCCAGGGGAGCCTGAGCGGTGGGTGTTGCCTTCTGACACACTTCCGGTGATGTCAAGGGGTGTGGCATATGCAAATAAGTTATGCTAATAAGTTATGCTAATGCGCTCCTGGTCCTCTTTTTCTACGAAATGACCCCTGAGGAGCAACATTTCACAGAGGTTTGGGGGCCGCAGTGGGAAGAGGAGGCAGGGAAGGTCCATCCTGCTGAGGGAAAATGTCGCCCGGATCCAACCCAGTGTGGGCAGTGGGGAGGAGGAAGGACTGTTGGTCACAGAGTCACATGGACTTCTAGCTCAAAACCTGATCAAATTCTGGGGTACAACTTTTGTCCAAGCAAGTACTGTGAGGTAAAGGTTCCCTTGCTCGAAAGCCAGTCGAATCCAACTCTAGCGCTGTCTGAAGACATGTGGCCAGCATGACTAAACACCAAGGCACACAGAACGCTGTTCCCTTCCCACCGAAGTGGTACCTATTTATCTACTTGCAATTTCTTGCTTTCGAACCGCTAGGTTGGCAGGAGCTGGAACCAGAGACGGGAGCTCACTCCGTCACGCGGCACACTCGGGTCTTGAACTGCTGAACTACCGGCCTTCCACAGCCTGCAGTTCAGCGTCTTAACCACTTGAGCCACCGCAGCTCCTAAGTACCGTGAACCTCAGCACAATATCTGGAGGTGACCAGAGGGGAGACTGGTGAGAAAGCTGCTGAGAAGGCGGGTTAGGTCCAACCCATGGGGCCCCATCAGCTTCACGCCAACAGCTGGATAGCTTTTTGCCCAAACCCTCCCGATTCCCTTCCACTCACTGCGGAGAGGCATACCTAATATCTTCTTGAAGAAGGACTCGGGGGGACGGGGCATGTCATCGATCAGCTCATAGAGGGGTTTGAAGTGTTCAAACATGTCCTCCGACGCCTCGTCCAATGGCACAGTGTCAATGACCTGCCAGAAAGCCCCAGAAGGGATTTCAGTGGGCACAAGGCCATGCAAGGGGGCCCAGAGGAAGGTCTGGGACCATCCAATGTCGCAGCATTGTCAACACAAAGAGGCACGGGACCGGATCCATCTCCCAAGACCCCCATGTAAGCTACACTGATTTTTGTACAGAAAGTACAAGACAAGCATTGATTAAGCAGCAGGACTCGCTGAAGATACGGCTAGCTGCGGAACTGATACCACCTGCTTCCCGTACCATCCATGATGTGACCCATCCAGAAGCCTTCCGTTCAGGAACCTTTCTCCTCTCTTCCAATATTTAACTAGCTTCAGAATGAGGTATTTTCCAGTATCAGACAGGTGGTGGTAGGAAGAGAAAGTATGCTAAAAATGGACGGGGAAGAGTTCCAGAAGAGCAGAAGGAAAGCTGTCTGGTTCCGTAAGGGCAACCGGTCACGGAGGAAGTTTTGCCCTCCGAGCAGCGGAGCCTTTTGTGGATGTTGTATGTCCTCCACCCCAATGCAAAACTGAACTATTCCAGTTCAGGTAACAGGGCTGCCCTGCACAAGATGGTTTTGCAAACTTGCTTGGACCAACGATTAGGGACTGTGGTCTACCCTGTTGTGTTTAGCAGGGTCCTATTGGTGTAACTTTCGTACTGCTTCATGTGTCACGTGAATACTTATGCTTCTGTTCTCCCTGGTGATTCCAGACACCTAAAATCCTAACGTCCTGGTTAGTGAGTGTCCCATTTTTTTGTGACTGTGCTGGCTCACGCCGTGTAATCTGCCCTGGGTCCCTGAGAGAAAAGCAGACTATGAATAATGGAAATAAAAATAAGTAAATAAAATATTGATCCTCAACTGGACCTGAAACCTATTTTTGGGAAGGTGGGAAAATTCGTAAAGAAGCCTTTTCACCACTAATTTGCTTGCACCAAAATGTACATTTTTTCCCCATTCCCCAATCTGGATTCCTCTACCACATTCCAGTTACATTTACTGTCACACCGGTAGTCTCGTCTTTGAAAAAAGAAAAAAAAAACAAGGTTTAAAACGCTGAACTTGCCAATGCTGGTAATAAGGGGTAAAATTCAGTGTGTGGGCTTTTTCTAAAGCATTCCTAAAAAAATAATAATCACATTTTAGAGCAAAAATTGCTACCAGAATTTCAAAACGCTCAGGACTGGTGCAAGATAAGGTTGCTGACCTCCAGGTGGGCCTGGAGATCTCCCGCTATTACAATTGATCTCCAGATGGCAGAGATCAGTTCCGCTGGAGAAAATGGCTGTTTGAGAGGGCAGACTGCCAGGGCTATTTTTGGGCAGGAATGGAGTTCCGGCTGGCTCCCGAGTTGGCCACACCCAGCAGGAACTCATTAGCATAATAGGCGACACCCAACAGCAGACACTCATTAGGATTGGCTACAATTAGGGGTGTGTGGCCTGACATGCAAAGGAGTTCCTGCTACAAAAAAAGGCCCTGGGTTTTGACCACAAACAAGGTCAACAGAATAAGAAGCAAAAGGTGGGTGTGGCTGGATGAGCACACTTCTGGTAACATGGGGGTGCGGCCTAATATGCCTATGAGTTGTGCGGTTAGAGGTGTGGCCTAATATGCTAATGAGTTCTTGCTGTTGGGTGTGGCCTATTATGCTAATGAGTTCCTGCTGGGCTTTTTCTACAAAAAGAGCCCTGGCGGACTCTATGGCATTATACCATACTGAGATGCCTTTCCTCCCCAAATCCCACCCTCCCCAGACTCTACCCCCCAGATCTTATTTCCCCACTCAGGGCTGGCAGCTCCACGCAAGAGTCAGACACTGGGTGTGACCGCACTGGTGGCTCAGCGCGATACGGCATCGCCTCTGAGTGTACCGGTTTAAAATGTTGCGGGGCATATCATCCAGACAGCACACCTTGCTGTGGGTTACCCGCACGGAGTCATCCCGCGATCAAGCATCCACATTACTGCAGTGCCTCCGCCACGAAGCGTCCTGCCCGGGGGTTGTTTTTTAAATGCAGGTGGGTGGGTGTGCCTATGCACTCATGCGCATATGCACCTATAGGCAAAAAAAACCCCAACAACACCCCAGCAGTGGAAAAGGATCTGCAGGTTCAGACCGCCAATCCGTTCTGCATGTGCTCCCCCCGGGTTCAGACTTCCGGCCACGCGCAATGCGTGGGGAACTGAAAACACCCCTTTCGATGTGGCGCCTTTTTAACCCGGCTCCGAGTCGTCCCACGGCAGGGCGAGTATGCCCGGGGAACGCCTGACAGATGTGGTTCTGTGACTGCGCCCATTTAATCCGGAGGGGAGGGGTGGCTATGTGTGATCGGCTTGCTCGTGTGATCACGCCCATAGTTTCAGTTCTCCCTCAGTTGCAATTTTCGTCCTCTGAGAGCCAAGTTCCTCAGTCCCCGGCCTACACCTGTTCCTCCAGCCCCCCCCCCCACTTTGCCAGCTCTTCCTCATCCTCCTCCTGACACGGACTCCTCTGAAGCAGGGCCCCAGTTTTGTGCTGCGGCCTACCCGCACCCACACTTCCGGTTTCCATGGCAACCCAGCCAGGCAGCCCCACCAACCTCAGGAGGGCGATGACCATTCCCCTACCTTCTGAGCCGACTTCTTCATCTCTTGGATATAGGCCGCCATAGCTTCCCTTTTGGTCATCTTCCCCAATCTATTCCACGCATCCCTGCCAAAACCCCAAAGAACAGCAGTTACTTGGGAGCAGGGGTCATTTCCTGGGGGAGCGCACAGGAGCGGAGCTCTGGCAGTAAGAAGCCCAGTGGGCGGGCACATGCAACAAGCCCCACCCCCTGCTCCCAGCAGCCCTCAGTCGGGCCACGAGGAGCAAGAAGCAGCCAAGTAAGTTGCAGAGCCCCCCCCCCCCGGCCCGCCTTCAGGTACAAGCTCTCTGTCCTCTGTGAGGGCAGATTTGCGCGTTCCCCTCCCCCCAATAGCTAGCAATCCAAAACAGTCCAGTGGCCCCTTTAACACCAAGTTTTATTCAGGTACAAGCTCTCCCTCCTCTGCGAGGACAGATCTGCACATCCCCCCCCCCCAATAGCTAGCAATCCAAAACAGTCCAGTGGATCCTGAGTGGTGGGTGTTGCCTTCTGACACACTTCCAGTGATGTCAGGAGTGTGTGTCACATGCAAATAAGTTATGCTAATTAACTCCTGCACCTCTTAGGGTTCCAGTGGATCAGGGCTCTTCGCCATATGATGTCAGTTGGATTTTCCAGTGGTAATAGCAGTGGGGGGGGGGGGCTCCAAAAGCCTGGCAGAAGAGCTCTGTTTTACAGGCCCTGCGGAACTACCCAAAGGAGTCTCTGAGGGGCTTACAATCCCTTTCTTTCCCCTTCCCACAACAGAACCCTGTGAGGTAGGTGGGGCTGAGAGAGCTCTTTCGAGGACTGCTCGTGAGAGAACAGCTCTGAGAGAACTTGTAACTGACCCAAAGTCACACCAGCAGCTGCATGTGGAGGCGTTCTCCCAAATTAGAGTCTGCGCTCTTAACCACTACACCAAACTGGCTCTCTGGGGCCACAGGACAACTTGGCCTGAAGGGCATGCTCTGCTGAACTGGAAACTCTCCCCCACTGCCTTTTCACTCGTTTACCATTCAGTGGTGAGACAACAGAAGTGTGGGCATATTTACTTTATTTATTGCTTTCAATTACTTACAGGCCACTTTCCCAAATATTCAACAACACAGTAAGACAAACATCAGAACAAACAAAGCAGGGAACAAATGCATTTTTTTTTTTACAGGTGGTACTCCTTGAACCTAGCAGTTCGAAAGCAAGACATGGCAAGCAGATAAATAGGTACCACTTTGGTGGGAAGGTCACAGCGTTCCGTGCGCCTTGGAGTTGAGTCATGCTGGCCACATGTCCACGAAAACGTCTTCGGACAGCGCTGGCTCTTCGGCTTTGAAAAGGAGATGAGCACCGCAACCCTAGAGTCGGATTCGACTGGCTTTCGAGCAAGGGAACCTTTACCTTTAATACTCCTTGAAGGAAGACAGCCAGACACGGAGGAATCCTTGTGTTTACAAGCCAGGCACTCCAAACCACCAGCAGCGTTTTGCACGGGCATTCTGCCCTCGAGCTGCCCCTCCTGGATAAACGACTAAGGACCAAGGCTTCGTTCAAGAACCACACTGGAGACAAAGCTTCCGCTAAGACTGCGAGAGAACTCGGCAGCGACCTTCCTTACCATTTATACCTGCCGATGGGGTCCCAGAACCCGGGCCGAGAGATCTGGCACTGGCCCACAGTCGCTTGCTTGTAGTAACCATAGAAACGCAGCATTTCCTCATAGGACGGACGATACGATGCACCTACAAGAAGTGGAACGAGCAGTCAGGTGTACACTAAGTTGGGGAAAATGATGAAAATTCCTAGCTGCCACCCTCAAATGACTTAAAATGCCTAGGTGATTAGGTGCCCTGTCCTTTGGGCGAGGTTATCAGCTGCTTTATAGGAATTCTACAAGGAAGAGGCTCGCTGGCAAAGAACAAATGCCGGACGAAGTGACTCTTATGTCTTCCCATTAGCGGTACAGTTCTCTGCATTTAAACCACTACGGACTCCCCCGGCTGTGTTGTATGTGTTCACTTAATTCATAGCTCGCTATTTGCACCAGTGGAAGAAGAGATGGGATTTATACCCCACCCTTCACTACCCGAACGAGTCTCAGAGCGGCTTACGATCCCTTTCCCTTCCCCTCCCCACAACAGACACACTGTGAGGTAGGCAGGGGTCATTTCCTGCAGGAACGCACAGGAGCAGAGCTCCGGCAGTAAAGAGCCCAGGGGGCGGGCACATGCAACAAGCTCGCCCCCTGCTCCCAGCAGTCCTCAGTCAGAGCAAGAAGCAGCCAGGTAAGTTGCAGAGCCCCCCTGGCCCAAAACAGTCCAGTGGCACCTTTAAGTTTTATTCAGGTACAAGCTCTCCCTCCTCTGCGAGGACAGATCTGCACATTCTCCCCCCCCCCAATAGCTAGCAATCCAAAACAGTCCAGTGGAGCCTGAGTGGTGGGTGTTGCCTTCTGACACACTTCCAGTGATGTCAGGGGGAGTGTGTCACACGCAAATAAGTTATGCTAACGAGTTATGCTAATGAGCTCCTGCACCTCTTTTTCTACGAAATGACCCCTGGAGGTAGGTAAGGCTGAGAGAGCTCTTTCGAGGACTGCCCTTGAGGGAACAGCTCTGAAAAAACATGTGACTGACCCAAGGTCACACCAGCAGCTGCACACGGAGGCGTAGGGAGTCAAACCAGGTTCTCCCAGATGAGAGCCTGTGCTCTCAACCACTACACCAAATTGGCTATGGGGACCCAAAATGGCTTACATCACTCTCCTGTCCTCCGTTTTACCCTCACAACAAACCTACGGGATAGGATAGGCTGAGAATATGTAGCTGCCCCTAGGTCACCCAGCTAGCTTCCGTGGCAGAGGGGGGATTTGAATCTAGGTCCCCCAAACCTTAGTCTGACATTCTAACCACTACATGCACCTGTGATGGAATAGTCTAAGTTTAGCATTAGAAGACCAGGGATTACCAGGTCCTCCCTGGCTGCTGGCAGGGGGTGGGTGGGGTGGGGTTGCCAGTTCAGGAATCCCTGAAGATTTGGGGGTGGAGCTTGGGGAGGACATGGACCTCAGTGGGGCACGATGCCCTACAGCCCAGCCTCCAAACCATCCATTTTCTCCACAGGAAATGACCTCTGTAGTCTGGAGATGAGCTGCAATCCCTGGAGGCTGGCATCCCTGACTGAATACTGCTTGAGAGTCAGTTTTTTTTGTTGCTTTGTTCTAAAAAGCAAGCTTCTGGTCCTTGCAGCTGCGTAGACAAGTCAAGGGAGTTGGGGCTTGGAGGGCAAGCGCTTGGGGGCATCCCCCCCCCCCGGCGTGGATTCTCCTCACCATTTTTGGGAAGGCCTTGGATGACGCGGACGGCTGCTTCGAACTGCTTCTGGTAGTCGGAATCCTCCGCCTTCATCCCCATGGAAGTCAGGACTTGGAAGGGAAGGAGAGCGGCTGTTGTGAAGCGCAGGTGCTGGCGGGAGACGGCTGCGGGAGGAGGCTTCTCATGAGAGTCCGGAGTGCTGGGGAGAGAGGAGAGAGGCCATCCAAACCGTTCTGCCAGGACTTCGGGCCAGGGGGACTCCCCGTCCCACAGGAATGCTCCCTACTTCTCTCTCTCTCTCTCTTTCTTTTTATCCCCTCCACAGTACAGTTAAATCAGTTTTCAACATACCCACTCAAGCCTCCCCTTAACATATGGGGACTCAGGCTACCAAATTACCCAGGGCTGCTTGCAGGTCCGCGGAGAACTGCAGTTGGAACCCAGATCTCTCTCGTGTCCCCGTTCCAGTCTGGAGCTGCAGGCAGCTGCTGCCGCCTCCCACGGCCAATGGACCTTGTTCGAATCACAAGGCTGGCGTGGGTTCCTTATTCTCAGTTCCTTCTTTGAGACGCCAACCAGCAGTCTGGATGGTACCTTAAAAGCTCTGCACCCCAAACGAAACTTGGGGCCACCCAAATGTAGACACCCCTCCCCAGCCCCTGGGGACTCTGCCCTGCATGGGTCATACCATGGCCTCCACTCCGAAGGCTGGTTTTAGTGGTTTCAGTGATAAGAACATAAGAGGAGCCAGTGTTGAGCTTCAGTTCCATTATCTGGCCTTCCAGGGAACAGTCAGGGTTGATTTCTTTCAGGATTGACTGATCTGATCTCCTTGCAGTTCCAAGGGATTCTCAAGAGTCTTCTCCAGCACCATAGTTCCAAAGAATCTATTATTCGGTGCTCGGCCTTCCTTATGGTCAGAGCTCATTTCGGGGGGGATCGCAGTTCCCCCGGGTGAGGTACGGGGGGCAGGGCACATGACGAAGCCCCGCCCCCTGCTTCCGGCCGCCCCACTTCCGGCCCTCATTCAGCCAGGAGGAGGCAGGAGAAGAGGGAGGGTAGGTTGCTTCCTCCCTGCCTCTCCCCACCCCTGCCTGCCTGGGGCCAGGGAGGGCCTTCGCGGGGCTTCCTTGCACTCCCGCCGGCCTTGCAGGTCCACCGCCGGGCCCCTCATGGAGCTCGGCAGTGGAGTTGCAAGGCCGGCGGCGGTGGCCGGGATCGTTGGGGGCGGGGGGTGTGGCCTTATGACACACTCCCGGTGATGTCAGGGGGGGGGGCCTTATGACACACTTCCGGTGATGTCAGGGTGTGTGGCATATGCTAATGAGTTATGCTAATGAGTTCCCCTAGCTCTTTTTCTACGAAACGACCCCTGCTTATGGTCCAGCTCTCGCAGCCATACATTACTAAGGCCAGAGGGTATAATTATTAAAGATTCATCTCCTCGGGGCTGGCCATCAACAGCTCCATGTGAGACCTTGGTGGCTAGTCCAGAACGTTCTGACTTTTTAAAAAGTGCACTATTATAAGTAGTTGAAATAATCTGTGTTGCATACTGAAATGCTACGAAGTGTTTTCAGTCTTGAACGTGTAAGAACGTAAGAACATAAGAGACGCCAATGTTGGATCAGGCCAAAGGCCCATCCAGTCCAACACTCTGTGTCACACAGTGGCCAGAAATACCAGGTGCCATCAGGAGGTCCACCAGTGGGGCCAGGACATTAGAAGCCCTCCCACTGTTGACCCCCCCAAGCACCAAGAAGACAGAGCATCACTTGCCCCAGAGCCCCTATCTAGACCTTGTGGCTAATAGCCACTGATGGACCTCTGCGCCATATGCTTATCTAATTCCCTCTTGAAGCCGTCCATGCTTGTAGCCACCACCACCTCCTGTGGCAGTGAATTCCATGTGTTAATCACTTTTTGGGTGAAGAAGTACTTCCTCTTATCCGTTCTAACCCGACTGCTCAGCAATTTCATGGAGTGCCCACGAGTTCTTGTATTGTGAGAAAGGGAGAAAAGTACCTCTTTCTCTACCTGCTCTGTCCCATGCATAATCTTGTAAACCTCGATCAGGTCACCCCTCAGCCGTCGTTTCTCCAAGCTAAAGAGCCCCAAGCGCTTTACCCTTTCTTCATAGGGGAAGTGTTCCAACCCTTTTATCACTCTAGTTGCCCTTTTCTGCACTTTTCCCAGTGCTGTCCAGAGGTGGGCTGCCCCCTACGGATTAAGAAGCCAGGGACAGTGGGATGGTCCACTCCTTACTTCGGGACATAAGCAATGTTCCCTCTAAACTGTGGAGCCCTGTGAGCAAAAATTCTACTTTGTGAGCTACTGGCCTGAAAGCTGTGAGCGAGCGATTTGGCTGCTGCGTCAATTACTTTGCTCTGGAGCCATCCTTCCTGAGCGGAGACAAACATGTGTGAGCCAGAGGCTAAAAAAACTGCGAGCTGGCTCACACTGACTCAGCTTAGAGGGAACACTGGACATGAGCCTAAGAGGGGGGTGCCTGCCAGTTGTCTCCTGGGCCACTGATGGTTGGGAGTCCACCAAGCCCCTGTGGGGTGCCGGCAGTGTCCCCTCTAAGCTGAGTTAGTGTGAGCTGGCTCACAGTTTTTTAGCCTCCGGCTCACACATTTTCGTCTCGGCTCAGGAAGGAGGGCTCCAGAGCAAACTAATTTATGCAGCGGCCCAGTCGCTCGCTCACAACTTTAATGCCAGGAGCTCACAAAGTAGGATTTTTGCTCACAAGACTCCACAGCTTAGAGGGAACATTGGGCGCCGGGGCCCTCTTTATTGGGCCCACCCAGCAGTCACCCCTCCTGTGGACACATGGACCTGAGTCAGGTCTCCTGTGAGCTCAAAGATGTCAGAAAGCAACCACCTATCTTGTGGCCTTCCCCGGGTGCCGTGAGTCCACGCTGCCGCCACAGATTCATTGGAGGAAAGGAAGATACCAAGAAAAAGGCAGGTAACCTTTGCTGTGAAGGAAGCAGATGAAGATGGGAAGCCCTGTTAGTCTGCCTGGAGAGCAGCAGAAAAGAGCAAGAGTCCAGGAGCACCTTAAAAGCTGACGAAACGTCTTCGCCTTGTTGACCTTACAGGTGCCACTGGACTCATACTTTGTTCTAACAAAATTTTTGGCAGGGCATCAGCTTATCTGAAGAAGGGGCTGCAGCGACTCACAAAAGCTTTTGCCTTACTCAAACAAAGACTCCTCGATATAGAGGTGCAAGATCTGAGAAGACTTGCGCACAGACATTGCTCTCCCCTTGAGTATGGGACTTTCTTTTAGGCACATTTCCTCAGGATACCTGGCAAGACTGATTCAGCCCCATCTTCGTAGGGCTTTCATGCTAGCGCGGTTCGGCGTCCTTCCCTCAGCTGTTCTATCGGGAAGGTTCAAGGAAATTCCCTATAAAGATAGATTGTGCCCCTGTGGGATGGGGGAAATCGAATCCATTGGACATGTGCTATTGTACTGTAAATTCCACTATGACATCCGTGTTGTTTATACTGAACCTGTGTTGGACCCCCTTTTGGGCCAATCTGATGAGCATAAAATTAGTTCTTTATTGTCTTCGCATAATAGAGAAATTCTGGAACCTGTAGCAAATTTCTTTTATGAGGTATCTAGGAGGAGAGGCTCATATTAAGGCAATTCGGAATGTGATACCCCTCCAGCCTATCTTGAGGCTCTATGCTGCATGTGTATTTGATATTTTATGCCAATAAAGGTATTGTATTGTATTTGTATTTGTAAGCTCCTCCCCTGCCACCAGTTTTGTTAAGTCTTTAAGGTGCTGCTGGACTCCCGTGCAACTGCCTGCCCTCCCCACCCCAATATCCACCCAGAACAGTTTCGGCTGGGCTTACTGCATTTCCCCAGTTCTCTCTGCCCCCGCCCCACATCCTCTTGAAGTGCACACCTGCCTGTGGGAATGGGATTCCTGCCCACACAAATTAACCAAGCGCTTGCTAATTACCTACCCTCCCTGGCAGTGCTCCCGCTAAGCCGTGGAGTCTTGTTATGAGCAAGTATTCTACTTTGTGAGCCGCTGGCAATTAAAGTTGTGAGCGAGCGATCTGGCTACTTGCATAAATTAATCTGCTCTGGAGCCCTCCTTCCTCAAGCGAAGACAAAAATGTGTGAGCCGGAGGCTAAAAAGCTGTGAGCTAATTTGCACTCGTTCCAGCTCCTGCCAACCTAGCAGTTCGAAAGCAAGAAGTTGCAAGGAGATAAATAGGGACCACTTCGGTGGGAAGGGAACAGCGTTCCGTGCGCCTCGGTGTTTAGTCATGCCGGCCACATGACCACGGAAACGTCTTCCGACAGCGCTGGCTCTTCAGCTTGGAAACGGAGATGAGCATCGCAACCCTAGAGTCGGATTCGACTGGCTTTCGAGCGAGGGAACCTTTACCTTTTTTAGTTTGCACTAACTCGGCTTAGAGGGAGCACTGCTCCCCGGCACTCCATGCCTCATCAACCTTGCTGTCCTCTTCCTGTTAAGATGCAGCCCCACGTTGTGTCCAGTGTTCCCTCTAAGCTGAGTGAGTGTGAGCTAGCTCTCAGTTTTTTAGCCTCCGCCTCACACAATCTTGTCTTAGCTCAGGGAGGATGGGGCTCCAGAGCAAACTGATTGACGCAGCAGCCAAATCGCCCGCTCACAACTTTAATGCCAGGAGCTCACAAAGTAGAATCTTTGCTCACAAGACTCCCCAGCTTAGAGGGAGCACTGCATGTGTCCCGTGTCCTTTCTCTCCCCCCCCCCGCTGTTTTGGCCAGGTCCTCAGGCTTATCCATCTGTCGAATGCATTTTTATCCCACCCTTGCCACAAGGAGCTCAGAGCGGCATCTTGGGTACCTCCTTTCCTAATTTTAGCCTCACAACAAACCTATGAGGCACCTCTAGTAAAGGTCCCCTTGCTCGAAAGCCAGTCGAGTCCGACTCTAGGGTTGCGGTGCTCATCTCCGTTTCAAAGCCGAAGAGCCAGCGCTGTCCGAAGACGTTTCCGTGGTCATGTGGCCGGCATGACTAAACACCAAGGCGCACGGAACGCTGTTACCTTCCCACCGAAGTGGTCCCTATTTATCTACTTGCAATGTCGTGCTTTCGAACTGCTAGGTTGGCAGGAGCTGGAACTAGAGACGGGAGCTCACTCCGTCATGCGGCGCACCCGGGTCTCGAACTGCTGAACTGCACCTCTAGATGAGCCGCAAACACTCGGGCAGCGGTCCCTCGTGAGAGACCAACAAAATGTCTTCCAGCAGCAGAAGCTTCCGGAGGCTGAGCTCCCTTCATTGGAGGCCAGCCTCAGGTGAGAGCCAGTGGGGTGTCGTGGGTAAGAGCACAGGACTAGTATCAGGGAGACACAGGTTTGAATCTCCACTCTGCCATGGAAGCAGAGTTGTTGTGAGGATGAAAATGGAGGGGAGGAGAAGGCCTTGCCCCACATGTTCCCCCAAGAGCACTACGGTCCAGGGCCCAAAATCTGTTGGTCATCCTGGGGCCCAAGGACACCAAACTAGCTGTGACCAGGGCCAGGGCTTTTCAGTGGCGGCTCCTACCTGGTGGAACAAGCTCCCGGGGGAGATCCGGGCCCTGCGGGACCTTATGCAGTTCCGCAGGGCCTGCAAGACGGAGCTCTTCCGCCAGGCCTTTAAGTAGGAGCCGCCGCCCCACTATACCACCACCGTTAAGGCTTCTTAAAGGAGGCATCAACAAGGCCTGATGAAGAATCTGGAAATCGTAGAAGATCTGTGGTCGTCGGCACTGGACACGT